GCTGTGATATTGAATCTGGTCCCTTGGTGTGTCTAACCTGATCCCTATGGTGTAGGTCACTGCCCCTTTCTGTCCCTGGGCAACCTGATTGAGGTCTGAAGTTTGAAGCCCCTAGTAGTCCAGTGGGCAGTGACTCATTAGCCCAGAGGCTGGGTCTGCCTCCAATCATATGCCTTAATTATCCCTGCTCTGAACTATACTCTCTTTCCCCAGGGAGCTGGGCTCTGTGGAGGTATCCTGGTCTTGGCTGGACTTGTGTTGGAGGTGGTACCAGTACCTTGTAGGACGGAGTGATGGGCACTTCCTCTCTTTCTAATGCCTCTGCTCTGTCTGGTTTGCTGGCACCTCCTCTCTGTCAATTGAAGGGGCACAGATTTCTTTCCTTGGACTTTTCTCCCTTGCTGCAGATTGGGTCAGAAGTAGCTGTTTTGCTGGTAGGATAGAGGGACCTCCCCTGTGTTCCAGGTGGGAAGGGCTGATCTCCCTCCTGGACCTACTGTCTAGCCCCCTTTCTGCTCACCAACACATGTTCCCACAAGAAATAAAGGGCCCCTCAGATTCAATGTTAAGTGTGTCCTTCCACACCTGTCCAGGTCTCTAGATTACTGTTTTCTATATCAGTAATTCACTCCTCTGTCTGTTCAGCTATATTGCCTAACCTTGCTAGTTCATTATTCTTTGTTTTTATGATTTCTTCAGCTGCAGAATTTATGTTTTGTTCTCTTTTAGTTTCAGTCTCTTTGGTGAATATTTCTTTTGTTCATATATTTTATTTCTTAGATCACTGAATTGCTTTTCTGAGTTTTCTTATCCTTGAGTTCTTTTAGAACTGCAATCTTGAATTCTCTGTTATTTAAATCACAGTGTTTCCTGTCTTAAGTTTATTTTCTGGAGATTTTTAATTTTCTTTCTGACCTCCCTTGTTACCTTGGTTATTCCTTGTACTTGATGGATTATTTCTCTGCCTGCGCATTTGTGGGAATGAAAACTTTTTAAAAAAAGTATTTGACATCAGTGTTTAGCTGCAGGTTGATAAGTAGATTTCTTTCTTTTGTTTGACAGTAGGTGGTGCTAAAGCACAAGTTTTTATTTTCTCTGCACTGCTGGGGCTTTTAGGATCTTTGTGCAGCATTATAGCCTGGGCCATGGAATATTCCTGGTATTTCTTGAGGAGGTGGGGTAACGTTGCCCAACCTGAGTCTTGGGGCAACACTCCCATGGATTCAAAGTGGTGGGCTGTGGGTCTTCTGAATGTTCTCAGTGCTTCATTCAGGTAGCCAGAAGCTGCCAGTCAAGCTGTTCTGTCTGAGTTGACCCCAGCTGCTTCAACCTAGGACCTATTTGTATAGAGATGGGTGCAAGAGGGTTTGATGGGGAAGTGGTTTCATGAATCCAAGGTTCTGCTCTTCCTTGTGTAATTAGCTACAATGAGTACAGACCACTTACTCTGGAAGTTTTTTCAGCCCTTTAAAGATCTTCCAAGTAAGGATTTCAGCCTGTCAGGCAGGCCACAGGTGTGGGCTGGTTCCCGCATATGAGAAATCCTTTGTCTGGTACTGGCTGGCTGTGGTGTTCTTTGACTTTGCACAGTTTCTCTGCCCCTGACTCTGGGCCCAGCCTCAATGTCTGTCAGCTACTGAGGCTCCATTGCTGTGTCTGCCCTTCCTTTTTGTCCAGTGGTGATAGTACTTCACCCCTTCACTGTTAAGAAGCCTCCACAAGTAGTGCCCAGAACTTCCATCTCTGTCTTGTCCCCTCCCTCTCCTGTCTCCATTGTTAACTGAGATGCACCCTCCTTTAGATGTCTCAATGCACAATGTGTTTCTGTGTTATCAGGGAATCAATCCTTTGTTGAATTATAGCTGTCCAATTTATAACTTTAAGGGGAGAGACCTTGACCGTCATGTATTGGCTGCCATGCTGCTAACCAATACTTTTTATTTTTCTCATAGCTATTGCTAAGCATGGCCATCCCCTCTCTTAAAATAATAGTCATATTTATTTTTTTTTGGTTCTATACTATCTTGTACTTGGTTAGTACTTAATTAATCTATATATACTACCAGCCTGGTGCACGAAATTCACTCACGGGTAGGTTCCCTAGGCCTGGCTGGTGATCAGGGCTGATTGGGGCCTTCCAGCTGCTGGCCGGGGCCTTCCTTCATTCTGCGCCACCCCCTAGTGGTCAGTGCACGTCATAGCAAGCGAATGAACTCCCCATCTCTTGGTTGAACTCCTGAGTGGACACTTTGCATATTAGCCTTTTATATCTATAATAATAAAAGCATAATATGCTAATTAGACTGGACGTCCTTTCAGAGGAAGTCGGGGCTGTGAGGGAAGCCTGGGTCCTGGGTGCCTGCCAGCAGCCGGAGGGAAGCCCAGGTCCCAGGTGCTGGAGAGAAGCCTGGGTCCTGGTTGCCAGAGGGAAGCCGGTAATGGTAGCCAGGTAAGGAAGGCCTACTCTTGCACTGATTTAGTGCCTCGGGCCTCTAGTATATAGATAAAAACCTAAGCGACCGCTCGACCCATAGCTGTGACATGCACTGACTACCAGTGGGCAGACGCTCAATGCAGAAGCTTCCCCCCGGTGGTGAGTGCTCTCCCACAGTGGGAGAGCCGCTGCGACAGTGCGAGCCTCTCCTGTGGTCACGCCTCCTACATGCCCCTCCCCCATACGGACCAGAATTGGGACTGACTGGGTGTGAGCCTGTGGCCGCTTTTCACTCATGGGTGCACGGGTATCGCCCTAGGGCGGGCGCGTGAAGACCGCAGTGGAGTAGTAGCAAGTCTACAGAGCGATGGCAGCGGCAGGTGCAGTGGGGCTGGGATGAGCAGGAGTGGCGCTGCGCCCAGCCTGGCTCGGGCTCTTCCCTGGCTGCCTGCCGCTTTGCACACTAGTACATCCCTCAGGGGATGTAGGACTGCCAGTTTCGGACAGTCCCCGCAGGCCAGGCCGAGTGACCCCACCGGTGCACAAATCTGTGCACTGGGCCTCTAGTATTTGTATAATGTAGGAATATCAGCGGTGCACTTAAATTAAACTCAGGCTGTACTTTTGGTATAGAAAAGTAAGTAATTTTATAAATTGTTTTTGTTTTCTATCTGAGGGTATAGAGTTTTTCTGCAGCAATATCTTCCTTAAATTCCTAGATATTTTTTATAAATAGAAATTTAAGGAATTTAGGGGAAATTGAAAATGGAATTTACATATGTACATGCATACATATGTATATCCTATATAATAAAGATGTAATATGCAAATTAACCCTCACGCCCTCACAGTATGGCTGCCTATGACCAGGCCAACAGGGACATTAGTGAGGGACCACCAAACTACTGAACAAGCAGGCTGCGTGGGGCGATCAGGCTGGCAGGGGTTCGTGAAGGGTGACCAGGCCGGCAGGGGGGCAGTTGGGGGTGACCAGGCCAGCAGGGGGGCAGTTGGGGGCAACTAGGCCGATAGAGGTGGGCAGTTGGGGGCAACAGTTGGGGGTGACCAGGCCAGCAGAGGGGGGCAGTAAGAGGTGACCAGGCTGGTGGGGAAATTAGGGGTGCCCAGGTCGGTATGGGGGGTGCAGTTGGGGGCGACTAGGCCGGCAGGGGGGCAGTTAGGGGCAACCAGGCCGGCAGAAGGGGGCACTTGGTGGCAACCAGGCTGGCAGGGGGGGCAGTAAGGGGTGACCAGGCCAGCAAGGGAGCAGTTAGGAGCGACCAGGATGGCAGGGAGGGGGCAGTTGGGGGCAACCTGGCTGGCAGCGGGGGCAGTTAGGGGTGACTAGGCCGGCACACAGTCAGTGAGGGGGCGATCAGGCTGGCAGGGGGGCAGTTAGGGGTGACAAGGCAGGTAGGCAGGTGAGCGATTAGGAGCCAGCAGGCCAGGATTGTGAGAGGGATGTCAGACTGCAGGTTTAGGCCCAATCCCTGGGGGGCATGTATTGGAGAGGGTGCAGGCTGAGCTGAGGGGACCCCCCCCACCCATGTCCACAAATTTCATGCACTGCGTCTCTAATATATGTATAATATCACTGTTTTTATTTACTCATTTTTCTATTACATTTTTAAAAATGGAACTGTGAAGTTAAATGAGGAACTTTAAACATTTTGACAGAATCCAGCATCATTTTATGTGATTTTTATACAGCAGACAAAGAAAACTTATTGAAATTACTAATTTTATTCTGATTTTTTCGTCAGAGCCTAGCATAGTGTAGGCTCAATAAAGGCTTATCTAACTGAACTTGAAGTATCTGGACTTGAGTATAACCTCTCATAGAGTCTCCTGTTGGATTGTGGAAGAAATGTGGGTACTGATAAAATTAGTGGATGACAAAGGGTCATACATCTAGAAGTTGCCTGGCATCAAATATCCTTCCTTCATGAAGCCTTCTCAGCCCTCAGCCGCTCTTCTCTGCTCACTGGCACTTTGCCCATTTTCTCTTGTAACCCAGGTCCTGAGGTGGTAAACTAGTAAGTTATATGCCAAGATGAATGACAAAGAGCCCAGAAGAGGATACAAAACTATTTTCAGAGGTCATATTTTTTTCACAGATGCTGCTCAGTCATAGTTTCTAAATCTGAGTCAGTTCCATTACACAAGCTATGTATTCCTTGGAAGGTGTTTTGAGTAGTTTTTTAATATAAGGAATTGTTGTATATATTGTAGAATTTACCAAATTAATTGTACTTTTTTTTGGTAAAATACATTAATTTTAGCAGAACTTTTTATCAGAGGCTTAATTTATCTTTTCTATTGAGTAATGTACAACAAAACAATTTGCCAATAGGTATTATTTTTGTCATTTTAAAAATAGATTTTAGTGTTTGATTTTATTTTTTGGACTTTAGTGTTTTTAATTAAGCCACCAGACATTTAAAAAAAAATTAGAGCCTCTTTATCCTCAAATCTCTTAAAAATTACCTTAGATCCTTAAAAACTAAGGTAGAAAGTACCTGGAGGTGTCTATATTTTACTAAGGATGTACTCCTCATTTTGGTAGGTATTTTGGACCAGTCTGCTGTGTGGGTTGATGAAATGAATTACTATGATATGCGTACTGACAGGAATAAAGGAATTCCTCCCTTGTCCCTACGTCCTGCTAATCCACTTGGCATTGAGATTGAAAAGTGAGTACCCTTTTCCCTTAATTTTGTTTTTGTTTTTGTTTTTGTTTTTTTTTCAGTTTGTAAGAAGTTTTATATACCTAGTCAAACTCTGGAAACATCATGTTATTTCTGAAGCCTGGTCAACTTTGCTGCCAATGAAGTTCCCATTATTGAAAACTTTTGACACAAACAACTTCTCTCTGTAGTTTTTTAATTTACATTTTGTGAAGAAGAAAAATATATTTTAACCACTAATACTTATTTTTAATCTCTAATACTTTAAGAAATCTAAGTATAGTTGACATACAGTATTATATTAGTTTCAAGTTACAACATAGTGATTCGATATCTATATATACTTGCAAAGTGATTACCGTGACAAGTCTAGTAACCTTCTGTCACCATACAATGTTATTTTGATATTCTCTGTATTCCCTATGCTGTACATTACATCCTATGATTTATTTATTTTGTAACTGAAACATTGTATACCTCTTAATCACTTCACGTTTTCAGCAGTCTTCTCCCCTCTGACTACTATCAGTTTGTTCTTTGTATCTATGTGTCTGTTCTATTTTGTTTATTTTGTTTTTAGAGTCCACACATAGATGAAAGCTATTTGTCTTTCTCTGTCTGGCTTTTTCACTTAGCATAGTACCTTCTAGGTCTATCTATGTTGTTACAAGTGGCAAGACTCATTCTTTTTTATGGCTGAGTAATATTCCATTTTTTTAATCCTCACCCGAGAATATGTTTATTGATTTTAGAGAGAGAGAGGGAGGGAGGGAGAGAGAAAAAGAAACATTGATGTGAGGGAGAAACATTGATCAGTTGCTTCACATATGCACCTCAACTGGGATTGAACCTGCAGCCTTTTAGTGTATGGGCCAATGCTTCAACCAAGTCAGCCACCCGGCCAGGGTTCCACTGTGTATGTGTGTGCATATATACACCATATCTCCTTTATCCACTGTCCATTGATGGACACTTAGGTTACTTTTATACCTTGGCTTTTGTCAGTAATGCTGCAATAAACATAGGGATGCATATACTGTTTTTCATAGTAGCTGCACAGTTTACAGTTCCATAGCACTTGTTATTTGAATAACTAGTACTTTCAATAATAAGAGAATTAATGTATTTTCTGGAGTTGGTAAGTTTAAATATTTAGATGGTACTTGAAATAAAAGATTTTCCATGTGCTTGGTATTTGGGGAAAATTTTTAGAATAATTAAGCCCATTGTAATCTTTCATTTTGTTTTAAACCTTTGCCTATAATTCATACTTAATTTAGACTTACTTCACTAGAATTGTGGCAGGTGATCTCTTTCAAGATGTCTTGTAATCAAATCTAGAATTTTCTTAATCCCTAGAATAATGTTTTTAGGAACTTTTGTAATTAGTACCTTTATCCTTAAATCTTACTTAATCACTTCTTCTAACACCTTAATTGTGTCTTATTTTCTCGTCTTAGTGATTCTGCTTATGAAGTGATGTACAGTGTGTTTCTCTATAAACACTCACTGCAGGTGACAGATTCGTTGTTAACATTTTAACCATAGCTCTATTTTAGGTTTTTCTATGAATGAAGAAAATTCTCCACTAATCTATATATTTAACTGTGAAGCCTACACTTGAATATCATTAGTAATTCAAATACCAAGCTTCTTTTTCACCTGCTGGGGTTTACCCCTAGCTGAGAAGAAGGCATTAAATGTTTGTCTTGGGACATTATCATGTGTTGAACCATCCTGGGGTGTAATAGCATTGAGTGAGCTTGGGCTGTTCTAGGTCACATCTTTGAAACTCTTTGGCTGTATGGGTCATTCTGGAGCTGTTTTAAGGATTTCAGTGCTCTATAAGTTAAGAGTTTAAGAATCAAGAAAGTCCAGAAAACAATGCTAATTGCTAGATATTTATTTGAGCACAGTTCAAACATGAATAGATTTTGTAGTTTATTATAAAACTTTTAATGGCCTGCCTCAATACTCTCAAAAGCCAGTTAATTTCATTCCAAGGTCTACCACAAAAGAAGTGTAGAGCAGGAGGGCCCTTTTGATGGTTCTTCCATAAAGATCCATTTTTATATATGAGCACAGGAGTATAAGAATATCATATGAATTTTGTACAACTGTAAGACAAAACTCTCAAAGTTAGGTTCAAGTTAGATGTTTACTATCATAAAATGAATTTCTTTAAATTTTAGTTTGGCATAAAACCTATCCCCTCTTTTGATCTTTTTACTTTCTCATGTCCTCTAACCTTTTGTCTTTATTGTTCCTGTTATTGCTGTTACCCATGAAGATGTTTGGTTTGAACTCTCTCCAAGAGTATTTTTAAAAATATGTATATTTTTATTGATAACAGAGAGGAAAGGAGAGGGAGAGAGAGATAGAAATATCAGTGACGAGAGAGAATCATAGATCAGCCCCTCCTGCATGTCCCACACTTGTGATCGAGCCTAAAACCCAGGCATGTGCCCTGACCAGGAATCGAACCACGATCTCCTTGTTCATAGGTTGATGCTCAACCCCTGAGCCAAACTGGCCAAACTCTAATAGCATTTAAAAAAAATGGGTTTCAGAAAAATAATACACATTCCTTTGATAATTTAGTGCCAGGAATAATGGCACTAAAAGTACTCAGCTCTTTAAAATTTTTCTTTTCTTTGTGAGGTAGTCCAATTTAGTCTGGAGACAAACTCTCTCAGTTTAAATTATAGCTCTAGCACTTATTGGCAGTATGCTTTGAGCAGGTTATTTAACTTCTTTTTGCTTTAGTTGGAGTGCCTGTGTTATAAGGTGCTTGTGAGAAGTCAGTGAGTGAATAGTGCCTTAGAATGGTGTCTCGCTCTTAGCAAGTGTTTCATAAATGTTAGTCATTATTACCACGATTTTTTGCACTTCATGTACTACTCTATTCAGTTTTCTACCACTTAGAAAAAGAAACTTTTTTAATGACTATTAAGATGTTAGGATAATAAATTGTATTTAAATCTTAAGAGAATATTATGTATAGTAATTCAAAGAGAGCTTAAATCGTGATAAAATTAGCAATGATATTTATTTTGAGCTGTTTCTTAAGTTTGAGTAATAATAACTCAGCCATCAGCTAATTAAAGGATAGTTTTTGAAAAGGTAAAGACATGATTCATACATATATAAAATGAACCATGTGTCAGAGCTTTCATTAGTTCATTAGTTAATGGGAAAACCAGTTCAAAGTGAATTCCACAGAACGTACATAAATGCTAAAAAATGCAAAACTGGTCACTTCTACTGCATGGTAATTAGTTGCATCTTCACTTGACAGGTATTTCTATGGCCAGGGATCTCCGCTCACCATTAGTCCTCCACAAGTTAACTTCTGTTGTTGTTGTTTTTTTTTAACAGAATTGGAAAATAGAGACAAAGAAAGGCAAAGATATCTCTAGAAACAGGAAACACTGGGAGTACCCTCCAGACAGGGAAAGGAAATCCAGTAACCATTTTTCTCTGTTTAAAGTTTTTATAATTTTCTCACTCGAAAGAAGGAAATAGACATACGAGGAAACAGGAAAATAAAGGTGAAAGTGGGAAGATTATATAAACCAAGAGAAGAGAATGTTTTTGATCAGAAAAATGCTCAATGTATTTTTAAATACTATCAGAAAGAATGCACTTATTTTATTGAACTTTGACCTTGGATAGAGAGGTCTTGTTTTAGAAAAAGAAGAGAACAGGAAAGGAAAAACATATATTAAAACACTGTTGGTATAGGTTTCATTTCCCTGATTCATTATATTTTAGTAAAAGCTTTGATCTCCAAAGAGAATGGTGTTACATTTAGATTAGAATCCCTAAGAGCATTTTTAAACTGACTCTCTTATTTCTGCTTATTCATGTCTTTTGGAGGTTTCTTTTATAATTAAAAGGCTGCAGAGGACCTATTTTTAATATTTTTAAAATGTCATTAGAGAAAAGATTACAAGGTTTTAATTTTATATTACTTGCTTGTTGAAATATATTAATAGAGAAGTTTTAAAGAATTGTGACTGCTTGTTATAAAATACTCTACTGTGATCCTAATGGATTATCAGATTAAAGTGTTGATAAGACCCCCTTTGGAAGATGAATCAGCTCCTGGGAATTGCATCGAGAATGTTTATGGAAATTATCTTCAGCTGAAAGTCATGTACAGTGTGAAACAATGAGGGGTCCTGTAGGGTTGGACAGTTCATCAGAATATGAAAAAGCAAGTGAGAATAAGAGTATATAGTTTTCCTGTTACAATTTGACTTTCCAATAAAAAGAAAAAGTGACTACTTTTCTTGCTACATGTATGTCAGAATTTAATAAATATTTTATTGGTGCACCTAACATGTATACTGTCCTATTTCAGCACACAAGTTTAACAACTGGCATTTAGTGGCCTGCCTCCACTGCTAAGTTTTTCATATTCCTAAATTTTTAACTGATGTTTTGCACACATGGTGCCATGATACTTATAAAAGTGTTACTAATTGCCCAGAAAAAAATAACTTCACTTTGAACTGAGACTGGGATTTGCTTTTAAAAAGTACTTGAGGATATGTTTTAGAGATTGGAAGGGGGAGAGACAGAGAAATATTGATGTGAGAGACAAACATTCATCAGTTGCCTCCTGTATGCACCAGACTACAACCTTTTTGGTGCTTGGGATGATACTCCAGCCAACTGAGCCATGCAGCCAGGGCTATTTATCATACTGATTTTCACAAATATATGTGTTCTTTGCATGGTTTAGTGGAGACAAACTATTTAAACTGAAAAAGAAGGTAAAATCAGGTTTGTATTAAATAAAGTCTTTAGTATTTTTCCTCTCTTAAAAATAACATTTGCCTAATATGAGGATATGTATAAATAATGTTTCTAGAGATAGTATATATTTGGGAGTGAGGGCATAAAAATAGAGCTTTTCCTCTGTTTTTGTATAATCTCCAATTTTTTGTGTGAAACTGTTACCTGGGAATGGCTATCTAGAGTAGTCAATTGGTGTACCA